ATCAAACAAGAAAATAGCTATTTTAAAATCTTTTTGTGATATAAATCCACATGGCTGCCACTCCACTACCCTCTAGGTGCATTCAGCACTATCCACAGCAAGGGAGAAGAAAGTATCATCTACTGTTCTTTATAGCCCCAACAACATTTTAGAAATATACGCATCAAAACTAAGTTCCAGCCCAGCGCAGTGGCACATGCCTTCAGTCCCAGTGACTCAGGAGGCTAAGGATCACTTGAGCCTAAGAGTTCAAGTATGCAGTGTACTATGATTGTGCCTATGAATAGCCATTGCACACCAACTAGGGTGACAAAGAAAGACCCTGTATCTCTTTAAAAGAAAAAACAGGCCAGGTATGGTGGCTCACGCCTGTAATCCTGGCACTTTGGGAGGCCAAGATGGGAGGATTGCTTAAAGCCAGGAGTTCAAGACCAGCCCAGGCAATAGTGAGACCCCCATCTCTACAAAATATTAAAAAAATAAGCCAGGCATGGTGGCACATGTCTGTAGTCCCAGCTACTTGGGAAGCTGAGGCAGGAGGATCCCTAGGCGTTTGAGGCTGCAGTGAGCAATGATGATGCCACTGCATTCTAGCCCAGGCAGAGCGAGACCTGTCTCAAAAACAGAAAAAAAAGAAAAAACAAAAAACTAAGTTCCAAAGCTACCAGTGGTAAGTGCTAAGTGCCAAAAGAAGGCGATTCAAATAAAATGTCTCATGACTAATCCTTCACTGTAGCTGTGGGATAAATCACCTTTCTTAGAGAAGGTAAGTATATTTTCCACAGTGTCATCAGGAAGGGAAAAAATAAGCTGCTGACACTGTACCCAGTTATTCAAGACTCAATTTGAGTTAAGACTTCAACAACTTCAAAGACAAGTACACCAAGGAACAGAAAGGCTGCTAAAAGGCATTCTGAAGTACTATTTTTTAAATTACCCAAAGAAGAACTGAAAGGGGACAGAATGGTTTGAATCTACCACCCCTCAACTTCAACCAGAGGAGCTTCATTCTTTCATCTTTTCTATATTTTGGAACCTGTTCAAGATCTTCTCTAAAGATTTCTGAGTCTAAAAAGCTTGTTTGGAAACTATTGTTCTTGATCAATCAAAATTATTCACTTCCAAAGGAAAGGAAGCAATTTTTACTGACTGCGAGAGAGATACATAAGCATTTAGATTATAGTAGAAACAATGAACAGAAATAAAACAATTCACTACAGAATATGATTAGAAGGATATGAACGGTGAAAATTGGTCTAAAGTTTTCTACTTAGGTCAACTGATATGATGTGCCCTGAGTCCTGAGAGGAACACAGGAAGAATAGGGACTCTGACAAAAGTATACAGTTCTTAACATTGTTCCCTTCATTAGCACAGAAAATAGAGCTGAGAGAAACTGTAATGAAGAAATCTTACCTCCCAGGAGGGATTAAAAAGGTCATTGCAAAGTTCTTCACAAAAGCTTTCCAAAGGCCATTCATTTGTCTAGTAAGAAAAACAGAATTGCTACTAGTTCAAAAGGTCTATTTTA